AGAAAGGTTTAGGTTTATTTTTATTTCCTTTAGTGGGATAACTTTATGATTTAATTAAAACCTCAATGTTGCATGCTAAAAGTACAAGTACATTCTGTGTACTTGTCACATCATGTAATATCTGATTAAGGCATGAACAATATTCCTGAGAGCTGTGGGTTAACTCATAAGTTGTGAAAGTGAAGGAAGCAAGGAAATGATCGATACTAGTTTTATATCTTTGTGCTTCAGAAGCTTTGGTGTCATCGTGGATTGTGGGTTTTGGGCTGTTAACTCAAAGATCAACAGTTTGAAACTACCAGCTGCCCCACAGGAGAATTTGGAGGACTTTCAATTCGCGTAAAGACTTACAGTCTTGGAAACTCACAGAGGCAGGTCTGCCTTGTTCTATGGGGTCATTATGAGTCGGCATCGACTCGATGGCAGTGAGTTTGGTTGATAAGAATTGGCAAGTACTAGTCTACCATTCCTTGCTTCTTAACGTATGGCAGACATAACTAATCTATAGTAATTATTATTCCCACTGGTCTCATTCTTACTCCAGGCAGTATCTCAGAACTCAAACGCACTACCCTCAAGTATATTCTGACTCTATCTGAACTTATATGAACAGGTTAGAATTGTCCCTGTGGGTTTCCAAGACTGTAAACCTTTAAGGAATAGGAGGCCTGGTCTTTCTCCTGTGGAACAGCTTGTAGTTTCAGTGGTTTCAAACCGCTGACCTTCAGTTAGGAGCCCAACTTGTAACTCTCCAACACTATCTGGGCTCCAGGCAGTGTCCAATAGCTTCTAATTAATCAGATTTGGCAAATAAGAGAAACTCTACTTACCAGTTCAATCCTCTTAAAATTGTTAATATAAGATTTCCTCACCTCCCAGTACAAGAGAAAAAACAAAACCTGATGACATTTGTGGATTGCTCTTGGTAAAATGAATGTTAGGATTAGAGGTGAGGTACCCTACTAGTTGTTTTCCTGCACCTTCCTTTTCTATTAAGACATATGTTAGTGTTAACATATGTTAACACTAACATATGTTAGTGTTAATGGTGTGGTTTTTCCTCAGGACTTTTGCCCTCAAATAGACTACATTAACAAAATATATCGTGTTTAAAAACAGGGAAGATGGTAGTCTTTCTCAATTTTGCATGTGTCAGACCACACCTAGCATATGCACTCATTGTAGGACACTGTTCATGATACTAAAGTCGTGCAGAGACTCATGTCCATGTTTTATGACTAGTAAGTGAAGGAACTAGATATGTTTACCTTGAAAAAGAGAAGATTGATGAGGAACCCAGTAATGCCTTCATGTATTATATGGCCTGTTTAATGGAAGAGACTTGTATGTCATTCTAGATGGTATAAGTAAAGACCAATGGCTAGAAGTTGTTAATTAAGTGTATTGTCCTTGGAAAAGAGGGCTCCATAGTCATTGAAATATGACAAATGCTTATACCATGTTCTTTGTCTGGAGCTTCACAAATGTATATTATTTACATGTATTTATTACATGTATAGTAGAGACCTTTTAAATTAGTTAAATCCTGTATTCTATCAACAATTTCTAAAGAATTAATTTTCTATGGAACTCATATTAGGATATTGGTTCAAAACAAGGTAGCAGGACTAACAATAACAGCAGTGCCTGGAAACTTATTTGAAATGCAACTTTTTGGCCCCACCTCAGAATTAGGACATCAGAAATGCTAGGAATATGGCTAGTAATCAGTGGTACTAACTCATCCCAGGGATTCTGGTGCTGCTGTGAGACGCACTGCTAGCAAAACCCACTATTATTCTCCAACTCACTTGCACCCTTTTAATTACATTTATAGCACTTACTATATATTTTTTAAAGTTTCTTCCAATGGAATTCTATGACTGTGAGCTTAAAGAGGCCTGGAGCTGTCCTGGTGGGATAGTAGTTTGCACATTGGGCTACTGACCACAATGTCAGCAATTCAAAACCATCAGCCACTCGACAGGAGAAAGATGAGGCTTTTTACTCCTGTAAAGAGTTCTTCTCTTGGAAATCCACATGGGTAGTTCTGTCCTCTCCTATAGGGTAGCTATGAGTCAGAATCGAATCGATGACAGTGAATTAATGAGGTTATGTGATATGTGGTAGTTTATGCATCGGGGTGCCAACTGCAAGGCCAATAGTTTGTACCCATTAGCTGCTCCATGGGAGACAGATGAGACTGTCTACTCCTGTAAAGATTTTCAGGCTCAGAAACCATAAGGAGGATTCATTCTACTCTGCCCTATAGGGTAGCCAGGACTCAGAACTGACTTGATGGCAATTGGGTTTCATTATTAGTTTATTTTTGGTACCCTTTTTGGTGCACAAAAAAGAAAACACTTATTGAAGTCCCACTATGATTTTCATTCTAATGTAGTTGCCATCCAGTTAGTATTAATTTGCATATTTTAAAGAATACTAAATAATAAATCTGTTATCGTTTATTAAATGAAATACATATTTCTGTCATGCAAAAGAGACCTACATAAATGGAAGACCATATGAGGAGGTACCCCCCCAAAAAAACCAGAATTTTTTTCCTAAAGCTACATATTTACTTTTTTTTTTTTAAACAAAACAACCTTATCACCTTCAAAATATTCACAATTACACTTAATACTTTTTCAATTCTGTGATTCCACTCGTGGAAACATATTTCAAACTCAACTGTTTGCATGGCTGACAGCACCTCACTCGTTTTTTTCTTCACCTCTTCTATGCTGTCAAACAAACTGCTGTCCTTTCATGTCTCTCTGCATTTGTGGAAACAAAAAGAAGTCGCACTTAGCAACGTAAGGTGAGTAAGGTGTGTAGGGCAAGAGACACATGCTGTTTTTTTGCCAAAATCTGGCACACTGAGAGCTGCGTGAGCAGGTACATTGTCTTGGTGGCAAAACCAGTCATCTGTCGGCCACAAATAAGGCCTTTTTGTCACACATTGTTACACAATCTTTTTGGAACCTTTAAAGAGAAAGCTTGATTAACCATCTGACCTGGTCGGATGAACTCCAAATGCATTACAAATTGACATTTTGGTCCATTTCGGAAGTTGACAGACGTCCAGACCGAGGTTTGTCACTAATCAAAATTTTACCTTTTTTGAAACTAGAAACCCACTCACACACTTAAATTTTACCCATAGTGCTGCCCTAATAAACTGTATTCAACATCACAACAGTTTCTGTGGCAATTTTCCTGAGCAGCAAACAAAATTTCATAGCCCCACGCTCCAGCCGGCACAAAAACAAGGTTCAAGCGAAACTGCTTTCACAAAAAAATTCTCTGTGACCAGAGAGAACTTTCCCAGAAAATACCACTGGGTGCATTAACACAGAGTGAATTGCTTGATGCTCGCCTAGTGGGAAAAATGCATACTACGAAAGCTGTAAAGAGTATTTACTGGGTTTTTAATTTTCATTTGGCAGAAAATGTTCACTGGGAAAAGAAAAGTTAATTTTTAAACATTCTTTGGGAAAGATAAGTCTTTTCCCCCCGCTTCTTTTTAAACATACTCAAGAGTAGCGATACCAGGAGGGGAAGGGGGAGGTGGGGGGAGAAAGGGAGAACTGATTACAATGATTGTCATATAACTCCCTCCCAGGGGGAAGGACACCAGAAAAGTGGGTGAAAGACGAGAGTGTTGGTGTAAGACATGAAAAAAATTTTTATAAATTATCAAGGGTTCATGAGGGAGGAAAGGTAGGGGAGGGAAAATGAGCTGATACCAAGAGCTCAAGTAGAAATATAATGTTTTGAAAATGATGATGGCAACATATGTACAAATGAGCTTGACACAATGGGTGTTTGTATGGATTGTGATAAGAGTTGTAAGAGCCCCCAATAAAATGATTTTTAAAAATCTATGATGTGCCTTCTCTTACTTCAAAAGTTTATAAGATTAAGATATTTTCCAAACTCTTTGCATTAACAGAGATTACATTCTGATGGCATTATATTTATCTCTCCAAACAACCAAGATTATTTGAGAGGAGAGGTAATGAAGTATAATATAAAATATATTTGTATATAATGATTTTTTAATTGTTTCTCTAGTGTACATATAAACCAACTACCATTGAGCCAATTCTGACTCATATTGAAGCTATAGGACAGAGTAGAACTGTTCCCTAGGGTTTCCAAAGTTGTAAATCTTTACAGGTGGAGATAGCCTCATCTTTCTCCCAAGGAGTGGCTGGTGGTTTTTGAATTGCTGCTTTTGCAGTCAATAGCCTGACTTGTAAACCACTACATCACCAGGATTCCTTAAGTATACGTATGACCACTCCTTTATTTATTTTTCCAGGTATCGGTAAGTGTGCATTTTGAGTATTTATGGGACATGCCTCTAAATCATGCAGAAGAACTTTCTTTTTCTGAAGACAGTGAAATGGAGTTGGCTGTGTTAACATGTCACACATAATTAGATTACAGTTATTAAGAGTTTCTTTCGAATGATTTATGACCAAATTTAACTTCACTACTCCTTATCGTTTTGTCACCACTTCTTTCATACAAGTAAGGCTATTGTGAGTTTATAATATTAGGTCCATTAGAGTTTTATTTATTTTCACTAAAGGGGATGAGAAAATTGTATAGTCTACAGACTAAATTTTTATTTTATTACTGCTCAGTGCTTCGGAATGTCTCGTTATACTAATGAGTCTAAGTAGTGCTATCACTATTACTATATTTAAACACCCCTGGTTGGCAGGGACGTGCTTAAGTCTGTATATAACACTGATAATTATGTCACTGTCTGTACCCTGGGCAACTGCTGCTGAAAGGGCATACTTACATGATGAGAAGATAGTAGATGAGTTCATTTGGAGTTGAGTGTTACTTCATTACTGGCTCATGTAAAGATTAGGGTGGTGGTTATGTGTTCTAAAGACCATCTAGCAATTTTCATCTTGAATATTAACTTGCTACATAGGTTTTTAAAAATTGCATTTAAATTTTTGTTCGTCTCTTTTTAGTTTTCCTCACAGAAGAAAAGGCCAATTCAGTATTAAAGCGCTACCGCAGAGCTAATGGATTTCTTGAAGAAATAAGGCAAGGCAACATTGAACGTGAATGCAAAGAAGAAATCTGCACATTTGAAGAAGCAAGAGAAGCTTTTGAAAATAATGAAAAAACTGTAAGTGTATGGGTTAAAAAATGACACTGAAAATTTTATAAATATGCTAACTTGTAGATAGATATTTGAAATCTACATTCCTTAAGTCGTGTGTATGTTGCTAGCAATTAAAACTTACATTTGTGAAGAATTTGTGCCATTTAATAATGGTTATATGGGTGAGACAGCCAGGTTCACTTCTTTGTGTCTTGATCTGTTTTTAAAAGCCTACTTTTCAGAAGACTGCTGAGTTTTAGCATCCTCACAAGGGAGTATCATTTTGTTTCATACAAGGCTTTGTTCTAGAAAGTTACGGTTATCGTCATCACCTTATTCTGTCTACTCAGAGAGAGCATGTGCAGGACGCTAATGGATGCTGGTACTGTTTTAAAATGTTTTCCTTCTTTTATGAGCACAGAAAGTTATATCAGACTTCCTGTGTCCACCCCTGTGAGAATACTCGTCTTTACTTCCCTTTATGCTAGAATGTATGCTATTCAAGGGAAACAGGGATTGGGAAGCATGGGCAATGGTGGATATTCCACAGACCTGCTCTAGCCAGAAATCACATTACCAGAGGTGACTACAATGTAGAGATCCACACCTGTACACCAGAAAGGAGTGTTCGAGCATGAAAATAACACTAGATTCTAAACAAGTCATGCCAAATGTGCTAGAGGAGCAGCAAATTAATCTTAGGGGTAAGAAATGCTGAAGAGTTTTGTTTTTTTTTAAGAGTGTTTGATTCCTGTCGGATAGAGAAGATCCCAGAGAGCTCAAGTAAAAGCTCATAAGTGGGTATGCCTGCTCTACTAGTTGCCATCAAGTCAATGTTGACTGATAGAGAGAGACCCTATAGGACAGGATAGAACTGTTCCTGTGAGTCTCTGTGACTGTAACTCTACGGAAGTAGAAACCCTGCCTTTCCCCCTTCGAATACTTGGTGTTTTTGAACTGCTAACGTTGCAGTTAGCAGCTCAATGTGTAACTACTTTGCCATCAGAGCTCCTCAGCATGCCTGCTAGTTTCCAAAATTTTGCAAAAGCAAAATTAGTTTATAATTCGATAAGCTATGAGCTTCATTAATTTTGGAATTCCTGGGTGATGTAAATGGTTAAGGCACTTGGTTGCTAGCCCAAAGAATGGAGATTGAGTTCACCCCGAGGTACTTGGAGAAAGGCCTGGCGATCTAATTCCAGAAAATCAGCAATTGAAAACGCTGTGGAGTATAGCTCTACTCTCGACACACCTAGAGTTGGTATGACTCAGAACTGACTCAACAGCAACTGATGGTTCATTGCTTTTTAAAGTCATATTTAATTTACACAGCTGAACACCTAGGGGAAAGAAAAAAAACCATAATTCTGTCATGTAAGTACAAAGCAATATTGACTTTTTAATTTCTTTTTAGTCTTTTTTTTCTTATGAATCTGCTTGGTTCTTGTTGGTTTCATTTTATACATCTTACTGGTTTTTTTTCTTCTTAAAAAAAATCCAAGCATGTTAATGTAGAGAAAATTTTAAGTGCAATAAAGCATGAAGAAAATAAAATCCCTTGAATTTTCAGCACCACCAATTTTTAAATTTTCATATAAATGATTCTGACTGGTTTTTAATGCTTAGAAAATTTTCAAATGAGAGGAATAAAATTTGTAGCATACTGTTTTATAACATGCAGTTTAAGTAACCTACCATGCAATATCTTACATATAATTAATGCGTTTCTACATTAGTTTTTATATCTTATACTTAGCCATAATTATATTTAAAAAATTTAATTACTATATATTGTGCCTTTCTATATGCTATCAGATGATTTTGTATGTGTATATTTGAGTTGACATGACTTTTAAAGCAGCCGTATTTCTTTTTTTTTTTAATTGTTTTATTAGGGGCTCATACAACTCTTATCACAATGCATTCTGTAAAGCACATTTGTACATTAATTGCCCTTATCATTCTCAAAACATTTGTTCTCCACTTAAGCCCCCAGCATCAGGTCCTCATTTTTCC